ATAATTAATCGTAATATTTTTGGATTGTTGAAGTCGAAATTGCGTTGGTGTTCAAAATGGTGGGTAGCGAGTGCTGTAGGATTTTGCTTGAGTTTTTTGCAATCATAGATATGTTGCTTTACTCTCTTCTCCAGATATTGGGATGTAAGACCGATGTAAGTTGCCGGACAGTTTAAACAATTGATTTTGTAAATTTCGTCAGATTTATTTGTTATTGATGTGGGATCTTTAATTTTGGAAAAAAGTTAAGTAAAATTATTGTTTTATAATTTTTGAAAGCTATTTTAAAGTTATCGGACGAGAGAAATGTGTTTAATTTATGTGATAGACCGTCAACGAATGACATGGAAATGTTTGCTGGTTTGTTTATATTTGATAGACTTAATGTAGTATTATTAGTAATAGTGGAATGTGTTAGTGTTGAGTTGTAGTTGTTGATTATTCTGTTGATTATGTGTTTAGGGTAGTGATTGTTATGGAGGATCTGTTTGTATATCTTTATGTGCTTGTCGTGAAATGATTCATGGCTCAGGGTAATAATTCTGTGAAATAACCCTTTGGCCGTGTTTATTATTTTACGAAGAGGATGGTGAGATTTAAAGTTGAGGTAGCGATCTGCGTTTCTTGGTTTTTTGATACCAATCTGTGATTAATGTGCCATTTGATTGTTTAATTACGAGTGTATCTAAAAATGGGATTGTTTTGTTGTTTTCGATTTCATGTGTAAATTGTAGGCGTGGGTGAAAACTATTAAATGTATCTACTGTAGTTTGAATTTGATCTGAGGGAACTGCTGTCAATATATCATCTACGTATTTAGTGAGGAAGGGTAATGTGAAAGGAAGTTGTGGTATGACTGTTTAATAGATGTGTCATAACTATGTCTGCAAGTATCGGGCCTAGGTTGCTACCCATGGCTATGCCAAATAGTTTTTTGTAAAATTGATTATTGTATGTAAAATATCCGTTAACACAGCAGTGTCGAACCATTGTTATGAACGTGTTCTTTGGTAGACTTGTGTGTGGCGTTATGCTGGGCCATTTATCTTTAAATGATCAGTATTGTGTCTAATGGAATGTTGGCGAACAATGATGAAACATTTATGGATATGAGAGAGTAGTGTGAGGGGATGTGAATATTATTAATTTTGCACTCTCAACACGACACGCAAGAAAGGCACAATTACACAGAAGACTTTGAGCCCTGAAGATGATCTCAATAAAGATCGAAACGTTGGCACGATAAAGAAAATGTTTTTCTGAAACCTACATCACACCAGACCGCATCTCACGATCTCTGAATAATACGTATATTATTTATTGAACAATACTTTTTTATGATTACTACCAGCCATCGATATTGTAATTAAAAATAAAAATCAGAGGTTGAGTTTAATATAAAATGATGCGATATGCAGTTAACAGCCAATGAACCTTAATGTGAAGAAAATGAATAATAAATTAGATTAAATCAGACATCAAACATCAGAGAAAATTTGCAAATTTAAAATATTTTTGGGGCTAAACAGGTCATCGAACAACATACATACAAGAAAGGATGTATATCGTTAAATTTAAATTTAACGAATTTAACGATTCGTTTGCCTGGTAAAGCTCCATCCTCAGGGTTTTTAACATTTTAACTAATTCTTGGAGGGTTATGACTTATGCAAGTAAATTAGATCAATCACGACCTAAGGATTTTTTCACGCGGAGTTTCCATTAAATGTTTTAGTAAAATTTTAAAAGTTATAATACATACCCTAATTATCATATATTCAGAAATGTTTTGGATTTTGGTTTTGAAACAGAACTTAACAGGTAATTATATTTTTTATACAAAATTTGTTTTAGCTTAGAGTTAAAAAATTTTCTGACCAATCGAAGCTAAAAAATAAATACCGTAAAATGTATAATGGCGTATACAGAATCTTTTTTTGAGCAGCTTTAAAACAACGCAAGACTACATTAAAAAAAAAAGGACTTGAAAAATTATTGAATTTATTGCCAGAGCCAGTAACAAAACATAAGTAATATAGACTATTAGGAATAAGTACGAAACATAATTAATATAGACTATTTTCATAGTCTAAAATGAAATACTTTGAAAGTTCTGCTGAATCAATTGAAAAATGTAAAAAGCAGATATAACTCTTCGTACATTAAAATAAATAATTTGTGTTTTGAAAATGTTTTTGCAATCAATAAATAATATATTGTGCACGTCTATAATAGCCAGCGAATAATACATTCCATTTTGTTTTTTGATCTCAAGTTTCTTGGTCAATAAGAATGAACAAAGACAAAATGAAAAATGCTAAACCATTGATCTCGTCCGGGTAGATAGATGGTTTGGCCAACGACCGTTACATAGCCCAAGTCCTGGGTGAGCCGTGCTCTACCATCCACGAGGTCTATCGAGCTTTAAGGCCAACGGAAGTCTCGATCGAAGAATGTACGACGGCTGAAGAAGATAATTTTATTGCTCTTACCCCACAAAGGAACAGTTATTTAACGGCTTCCAAGATAGGTAGTTACATCCAAATGGTCTGTAATGAAAAGGTGAGCTTTGAAATAGTTACCATTCGTGAAAATAGCCTAAATACGTCCCCCATCAGGTTCTCTCCAGGAGAGACATCCAGAAGGCGAGCGACTATTCGCAACTCAGTATCACGTTTGGATAATAATCAAACAAAGGAGGTCTGTTCTCTTCACAGATGAATTTGGTACATGGCAAGTGTGACTAGGACCGTGTGTGGAGAATACATGGAGAACGCTTTGCTTCATGTGTCATGCGTCAAGGACAGTCAATTATGGTATGAGGTGAAATAAACGTCAATGCCCTTACCGCACAGAATGTGCAGAGGATCTTTCACTGCACTTACATTGAAGAAATTCTTCAGTAAAGTTCTGGTCTCATTCCCATTTCGTCTTAATGCATGATAATGCTCGATCTCGTGTCCAGTTGTCACCCTTTACTTAGAGGATGTAGGGATTTCCACAACGAAGCTAGCACGCTTTCCTGATCTCCAACCCATAGAACACTTATGGGACATGATAAAGAGACGGGTTTGATATCGTTCGCCGCCTCCCAAAAGCGTTGAACAGCTTCAAACTGCTTTGTCTAAGAATGGGATTGGGTTTCACAAGACGAAATCCGATCGCTTGTTTACTCGATGCTTAGGAGGCTTACGACCCTCCGCCAGGCCAGATGAGATATATGGATTATTTAGAGCAAATCCATGTAATAATTTGTTAAATTTTAATCAATCATAAGTGATTTTCCAGTATTTTGGCGAATTTTCTTGCAAATCATCAAAAATTAATAATATTTCTTAAGAATCATGAATGATCTTCATGATGATCATGATGATGCATAATTTGTTTCATATTAAAATAAGTATGATGTAATTAATATAATGATAAAAATATATACAGGGTGGCCCCAATTGATTCAGCCACACTCTAGATCTTATAGGAAATTGAACGCTGAGTACAAAAGGTCCTATGAACCTGTGTCCGCAAACTCTTCAGTTCCGAGCTACAGGCAAAAAACCATGAAAAACCACGTTTTTTTACCTTATTCGTAAAATTAGTAAACCGTTAGCCTGACCATAGAACATCTCGAAACAACATCTATAGAGGATTAATTTCTGCGTCGAATGAGACTAAAACCAGCCTGACCGGCCGAAAATTTCACCAAAATCCACATTTTCAAAATCGAAAATTCGCAATTTGAACACCCTATGAAAAAATTCTCCGTTACAAACGTTACAAAGAAAATTATCGCTATTTTTCACTCAAGCTATTGTAATGGTTTTTTACAATAAATAAAATGTAATGAGAATTTTTTGATAGGGTGTTCAATGCAGAAAGAGAACGTTTGCTAAAGACCATCACCTTAGCAGAATGGCCGCCTAATCTCCAAAAGCTAGTCTGTGATTTTCCAGTATTTTGGCGAATTTTCTTGCAAATCATCAAAAATTAATAATTTTTCTTAAGAATCATGAATGATCATCATGATGATCATGATGATGCATAATTTGTTTCATATTAAAATAAGTATGATGTAATTAATATCAGCACTAAAAGACTTTGCCTCAAATACGCTTAAATGAACAAGTCCCTATTTATTCAAATTATTAAGTCCTAAATAATGTTATTATTGTTAGAGTTTTATTACCGTTATTTATTTATTGCATAATTAAACATAGGTTTAGGTTTAGGGTTCCGGGCTGTTTTCCTCTTCTTAGTAAAATTTTAGATAATATAAATAGATAGAAAATAAAATCAAGGAAAAGTAAATGTGCCAGGGGAAACCAGCAAGGGAAGACCTTTTGTTTTAGGTTTTAAAATGAAAATATGGTCCCTTCAAAAACCGACCAGCGGTCTCGCCTGAAGGAAAGATGGTTGGGAGGTTTTTTATCCCATTTATTTGAAATCCGTTGAGATATACAATTCGATTAAGCTAAAGCGTTTGTCCGCCGGTATGGGGTCTTCCTCAGGTACGGCGGGGTGGTGGAAAGGGTAAAAAAAAGGGTGTTCTAGTTGTGAATTTTCGATAAAAATGTCAGAAATGGTGAATTTTGTGTACCCCTTCACATCCTAACTTCGAAAAATCGCCAAAAATGAAATTTCCGGCCGATCAGGCTGGTTTTGATCTCATTCGACGCAGAAATTAATCCTCTACAGATGTTGTTTCGAGCTGTTTTACGGTCAGGCTAACGGTTTACTAACAATTTCACGAATAAGGTCAAAAAACGTGGTTTTTCATGGTTTTTTGCCTGTAGCTCGGAACTGAAGGGTTTGCGGACACAGGTTCATAGGACCTTTTTTACTCAGCGTTCAATTTCCTATAAGATCTGGAAGTGAATCTGGATCGATTGGGGTCACCTTGTATAGTTTCAATAAACACCAAAATTCGAGTGTCCTCTTTCTTCAGTGTATTTTTTGTAAAGAACCCTTTACGCTTTTGTATTTCCCATGTTAATTTATTAATATCTATAAATCTGTAGAATTGTCTTTAGATAATATTGACGTTACATTACATGACTGAAAGGATTTTATACCTTGTTCCCCGTTACACAAATTGTAGTTTTGAGCTGAAGTGGCAACTCCCTGTTTTTCGGCGGTCTCACCCGGAAACGCATAAGCTCGATATAGCACGCGTCCGGTGGTTTGAACTTAATTGTGCGTGTCCTTTCGTACTCGTCCAACTGGACGCAAGAGTGGAATTCAACGTTTTCCAGTCGAATCCACTCTTCGGTGACAACGGGGATGATGTCGTGCCTTCCGACCACCTCCTTCCCTTGGCGTACCAAGTCGTTGACGCCCAATTCTACGTCTGGCATACCTAAAACAAAAAATAACTTGTGAGTACAATTTTCTAAACAATTTGTATGAAATGATGTCAAGATTGAGTTACACTATGGGATCCTATTGCAAGACAAATAACATAGACCTCTGTAAAAGGCCGACAAGGCTAAACAGCCCGAAACGGAGATAATATAACACTTTTTATCTCGACACGAAGTTATTTCAGATATACAGATATATAGAGAATTATTGTAAAAAATTTCATAACTAAATTGGCAAGATGCAAGCAAATTTAATATACAAAATTTTAAAGCTATTAAACCTTTATAAATGTTTAATTTCTTAAAGATACACTGTTATAAGAATAAAATTTATTTAAAGCCTTAAAGAATTTAATATACAATGTGATAAAAAATACAACACACTCTCCTAACTCAAAGTATGGTTAATAGTTCAATCGGTAAAATGCTGAAGAGCATCTGAAAATACACTTTGAATATAGATATACAGAACAACGTAAATTTAAGTTGGGTATCAGAAGTTAGGGGTTAAGTCGTCTGATTTATTCTGCACAGTCCCCAGTACTTGCTGGGCATTCAATACACAATTGCTGATCCACAATTTGTACAACAATGTTAGGTGATTCAGATACTCAACATTTTATATTTTTTTACGATTTTTGTCCAAAAATTTATTCGAAGCTCGTGAACAATTCATTTTTGGAGAAATAAAAAAAAATTGAAAAGAGCGATAAATTTTTTTTAAAAAGAAGGCATCCTTTTAGAACTTCTTTGTCTAATAAGCTTTCTAGCAGTATACCCTTTTTACATACATCAAACCAAAATGCAGAAAATTGATGCTAAAAGGAAAAAAAGTGGTAGCTGTGGAAAAGGTTAATTTAATAATTCAACTTTTTGTCCTGTTATTTTATTTCCTAAAATGTATAAAACAGCAATTTAATTGAATAAATTTTAACTTTAATTGAATAAAAAAAACCGCAAACCAGATGAAACAAAACACGTAAAAAAGACATAGCGAAAAGCAAAGCAGAAAAATTGGACAAAATATCTGCACTGAATGCAGAGAAAACAAAACAAGAGAACAATACAGAAGCTGTAAAAACCCAACATTAACTTAACAAAAAAACAAGAACAAGAAAATTCAACGTAAAAAATAAATGAAACGCACAAAAAAGAGACAATAAATATATTGAACAACCAAAGCAGAAAAATTACGTTGAATTTTTTTTAGTTTAGTTTTACAAATTTTAAATTTAGCAGTTTTACAAAAATTTAGTGTTTGTTTTTTATCAAAAATTAAATTGAAAGTTCTAAAAGGGTGATTATTAAAGGGATTTTTTAGCTTACGTTCTGTAGCTTTTGTTTTGCTTTATTGGGATGTTTTAAATTTATTTATTTCTAAATATTATTTTTTTGAGCGACCACCGGCAGACGGTTAACATGCCGCATTCTCAATGCTTGTATATACTTTTGTTCTTTGTTCATTCTTTTATTAATTTTAATAAAGCATTATTAATTTAAAAAATTAAAAATTCAATTAAAGGGATTTTAAAGCTCTTTTCAATGCTTTTTTTTTTTTTTTTGAATTCTGGAATTTTTGGTGTAGATTTATGACGAAAGCCGTAGATATGGGAAAAAACATAAAATGTTGAACATTCGCGAAGGGTTGGTAATGGGACCATGGTTCATGCGAACTTTTTTTTTTGCATTCGAGGTGTACCAGCACCTGACGAACCTTGCCGTACAAATAGTGAATCACCATGTATAATACATTCTCGACCACAATCTCGGCTTTTAATTAATTTGTTTAAACAAAAATTCTGTTGAACGTTACTAGAATGAATGTATTTATAAGAATGAACGATGTGACGGGTTGATGGCAGAAGTACCATATCAATCCAGAATGTAGGAATAGGCATGAACAATTACCAGTTGAAGAGAATAGTCTATAGACTTACAAGGAAGGAAGTGAAAAAATTATTTAAGACCAATGGAAAGTTTGGCGACTGGTAAGTGAATTTTAACAGAGAGCTAAAAAAATAATTAACTCCAAAAAATTTGTATTACATTTGTTACTATTTATTGTTATATTTGTTTTAAGATGTAAATCAGTTAAAAAAGAACAAAGATGTTTTGTCTAACTAAAAGATATCAATTTATTACATTGTATGTTTTATTTATATTGCGTTATTCATTATAGTCCTTCTACTTTTAGACGCTCAACAAATATACCAGAAATCCACTAAAACCTATTTTTATAAAGAATTAGATAAATGGTTTGACACAAATATTTACTAATAATATATAAGAATTAATTTACTAGCATTAATGTTGTTTGTAATTATTAATTATTTATTATTCGGAAATCGTGAGATGCGGTCTGGTGTGATGTAGGTTTCAGAAAAACATTTTCTTTATCATGCCAACGTTTCGATCTTTATAGAAATCATCTTCAGGGCCTGGGATTTACAAACATTGTTTAAATTTAATAAAAACATGTAGGATGTGTAAAAAAGTTAATTTACACAATGCAAAATATATTTTTTTTTTGTAAATGTTTGTAACTCCCAGGCCCTGAAGATGATCTCAATAAAGATCGAAACGTTGGCACGATAAAGAAAATGTTTTTCTGAAGCCTACATCCCACCAGACCGCATCTCACGATTTCCGAATAATCATCGACTAACGGTCACTAATCACCACACGTAATTATTAATGCTGAATGAATGAAAACGATGTAGATGAAGATATAGTTTCGGGGTATAGTATACTTCGTCCTTTAAGAGCTATTGTATCCCCCGTGCTCTGTCTAAAGCACATCGGTGAGTCATATTTCTTCAAGAAACTTGAGTAATAGGCCCGGTTTCAGTGATTGAATCTCTTCTATGGTCACATTGTACAATCCCAAAACACTTCCTCCTGCGAGCAAGTGTAGCACCACAGTTTGTAAGTAGGTGCGTTGGTGTCTCCTCTGCCTCTTTGCAGAATCTGCATGTGCAGACTTGTATTATATCAATCTTCTTTAAGGGTCCATTTAGCTTGCAGTGTCCTGTTAAGATTCGCAGTTTGTTCCTGACACATTCTGTAACTTCTGTCCTTCCGAAATTTGTTAAGAGATTCTTGGATTGTCTATGTCCAATGAGTGACTTCCATTGTTCCTTCATTTTCTTTTTGTTTTTCTGTCTGATATACTCATTGATAGTGGGGTTCCTATGCCACAGAAGGGTTCGGGTCCTATCAGCGTTATAGAAGCCCCTTTCCTTCAAGGGTTCTCGTTGCCTTCTACTCCCATGTGTCCTGGGACCCAGCAGAGGCTGACTTTGTTCTGCATACCTAATAGTTTATTTTGGTTTTCCAGTTCAAAACCATCTTTGAACTAATGACATTTGAGCTTAGTGCTTTGATGTCAACCCTTTAGTCAAGTTGAATTGACTCCATTGCGTGAAGCTTGGAAGATAATGGTGTATTTTCCCACGGGTTCTGAGTATTGGTTCCAGGACCGAATACTCCTACCCCTGTACGTTCAATTAAAACGATTATGTGATGAAACTTTTCTCAAGTTAAATGATCATGGCATTGATAATTTGTTTCAGATTTCATTACAAAAATTAACATTTATACTTTAATATTTTCTGTAAACTTAACTTTTACAACCTGTCTTCTGCTTAAGTAATGTGTTTAATAGATTTTACAAATTACCACGCAATCAATGTTCTGATTCAGATTTCTGTGCTTTTTTAAAATCAAAATTGTTTAATAACCTTTAGACATTTCGCCCCCTTTTTCGAAAGAGAGAAGATAACGTAACTTTCTTGCATTTGATGCCAGCCATGCGAGTGGGTTGTAAAAGGCAAAGGTGGTCGTAAACAAAAATCTCAGATTCCTTCCCATCAAACGACGTTTTAAAATTTCAATGTAGTCCAATTCTCATAGCTCTTTATTTACATTCAACCTTCTAGTTTTGATTTAAATTCAGGTAGGTTTATTTCAACCAACTCGGAAAAGAATAGTTTTCTTTTAATATTTTCTCTTGTAAAATTTTTATGATTTTTAAAAGGTCTAAGTGGGGGCCGCGGTGGTTAGCGTGAGAGACTCTCGGCTCATAGACGCCGCGGTCGTGGGTTCGATTCCCACCGTCGCCTCTGGCCCTTTTTTCACGATAACCCCCCAAATATGAACACACATACAAGAATTCGTCACCATGATTAATATGCATAGATCATAAGGAAAAAAAAAAGGTTTCAGTACAAATCTCATACTATGCTTTATACGCGTAATCAATGAGGTAAAAATGTTATTTTAATCAAGAAACTTGCCTGAAAGGAAGCCAAGGAAAAAGAGGCGGACTCTCGCGATCTGTTTTTCAACTCCTCCGTTGGCGTTTTGCTCGACATAAAGTTCGTCGACGGCAGTGATCTGCACTTCTTCCATTTTGTATGTAAGAGCCCGGTCCCTGTGTGCCGACAGGCGGAAGAGAGCTTCCTCGACGCACATGCTGAACTGTTTCATGTCCTCGTAGCACTGGGAGCCGATTTTGAAAAGCTGTGAAATCTATGGGAAAAAAACATGAATTAAGGATGCCGGTCGGAGTGAGAGCAGGTCTTGCCTACTTGTGGAGCGTGTTCGACAGGGAGGCCTAATTTTTTTAAATCGCTTCCGAACTCTTTGACACCCTGGTAATCGCCTTGGATCGCATAAGCGGCGAATTGGCTTAACTTGTTGGTGATCCTCTCCGCCTTCGTCACCTGACCTGGCCTGACGCCAGGCCTTTCTTTGTAAAATATAAACTGAAGTTTGACCGTGAAAATCTTCCCGTATTGGTCATATTGTTGGGCAGCTGGAATTGAAAAGCAAACCATTCGAAATTTGTTCAGATATAGTTGTAATTATAATAAATTAATTAATTGGTTAAGGAACAACTAAAAACATGTATATTAATGTAATTATAATAAATACCTATGTCAGACACTGAGTAGCAAGGTTGAAGAGGCAGCTCCTGGAAAGGATCTTTGTCATCTTTACCGTTGAATAACTGCAGTACAGGATTTTCCCCTTGGTAAACCAATTTGATGAAAATCTTTTTCCAAAACCTAAAGATCAGAATACAAATGATAAGTAGTATAACGAATAACATAAATAATATTAATACCTTTGTCCGGTGATCTTTTTTTTGTTAGGCTGCCTTAGTTGCATTTCCCAGCCAGGACCGTCGTAATGGATTCTCGGGAAGTTTTCCAGTGGTTGAGACATGTCTTCGTCAAATAAAGGTGTGGGAGGTGTTTCTTGTGAATCGGTCCTGGTCATGGGTCGGTCTTCTACAGCTGAAATAGCTATATATTTTTTATTTGTTGTGAACGGCCCAAACAGACAACAATCGTGTACGAACCTTGGGCAAATATGTTTTCCGTTGCTGATGCCGGAGCTTCTTGATTGCTGTCAAAAGGGTTAAATCTCGGACTTGTGTCTTGAAACGCGTTCATTTGGCTTGGACTTTTCGGCGGTGGGGCGAGTGAAGGGACTGGACCGTTGTCCACCATTTCTCCAAAGGCGTCGGCAGCTTTGGGTCTAAATGATTTATTAATTTCATAAAATGTATGTATTAATGAACAATTCGATTGAATACGTACTTGATGAAGATGTTAAATTCATTGTCGTCTACCGATTCTGCCGATTCACCACGGCTTACTCGTGCGGGTGTACCTTGAGGAACAGGCGGAGGTTCTCTCAGAGATAGGAAGCTGTCAAAATTATCATCCGCCCCGAAACCAGTGCAACTCTCGTCAGCTTTAACATCACCCATGTTTTAAAACAAAATAAAAACAAAAACAATGTTGGGAGGATTTTCACCTACCAGTGTTTCCACCGGGAAATTGCGATGAAAACGGATCAAACGGATCGGAACTCTTGGGCTGTCCAAATTCTCCAAAACCGGCTCTCTCGAATTTAGCCGTGAAAGCGTCAAAATCCTCTGTAGGAGCGGATCCAAATGCATCCGAAGAAGGCGGTGCTGCAGAAAACGTGTCTATCGAAGTGGCTACCGGAACCGCGGAAAAAGCGTCCATCGGCGCAGCACTGAAAGCGTCAACTGGTGCAGCAAACAGTTCTGGCTGGGCACTAAAAGCGGCTACTGATTCCGTCAGCGCCCCCATGTCAAACGCGTTCTCTATCCGAGCAGAAGTGTTTAAAGGTTCGATTGTCTGTGATAATTGTGCAGGGAAAGTTTCATCAGCCTCTAGAGGAGGAGCAGCATCAAAAATGTTATAAGAAGGTTCAGACGCGGGTTGACTGGCTTTAATCGTAAAATCCAGTTCACTCTCTTGTGTTTCGACCGGAGGAAATGAGACATCGTTAATATTTTCTGACTGTTGAGTTCTAGGTTCCTGAGAGAAAAAATCGCCGTGCTCATGAGGTTCAGATTCAGAAAAAACATCATCTGGTTCAGTGGTGTGAACAGAGGTTACTCCATTCGTGACCGCCATATCTCCGAAAATGTTATCAACTTCTTCGGCTTTCTTGATTTCTTGTGGTGGGGATTTAATATCCAACACTGGTTCAGGAGTGGGTACCCTGGCAGGTGGTGGAGGAGGACGAGCAGGTTGAGGAGGTAATTTAGGTCTCTGAGGCACACTTGGAGGTGCAGGTCGACTAGGTGGCATTGCTGGTGCTGCAGCAACAAAGGGTGCGGCAGGAGAAGCCGGCTTCGGGGCCGATGCAACGACCGGCATTGGTGTTAAAGGCTGTACTACTTCAGCAGGCGGAGCAACTGGAGTAATTGGAGTAAGTTGGTTATCTACACTAGGCCTTTTCTCTTGTACCGTAGGCTCTGCTATAGGTCCAGACGGTTCAATATCAAAATCCCCTAACAGATTCATTTCTTGAGGCTGGCTATGAGCCATAGGGTGCATTGGTTCGTCTACTTCAAGCAAATCTCCAAAATGAGTCGGACTTGGAGAGTGAAGGTCCCTCATTGGCGTCGGGCTGGGTGTTCTTGTCGCCTGCAACCTGTCTAATAAACTAGATGACGTGGCTTCCATTGCGCCAGTCACGCTTAAAATAAGATCTTTGGTCTCTTTGGGAGGACCCGGCTTTGGTGGCGGGGGTCTCCTCGGTGGACCTTTGCCACTATCGGCATCCTCCAAAGCTTCGGAACCTGATATATTTTGGGCAAAAATGTCATTAGTTGGGGTGGTGGATGTTAAGAAATCATCTTGGATAGGCTTACTCTGAGGAAGTTCTGAAGGCACATTGGCATTGCTAAAAATATCAATGCCGCTCGATGGCGGCGGTACTTGACTGGAGGCAAAAATATTTTCATAATTGATTTCGACGGTTTGATCTGTGTTCGACCCGAAGAAATCCGAAGTGGTGGTTGGTTCTGAAGAGAATGCGAACGGATTGGTACCAGAATTTGAATCGTAGACATTGGTCTCCGGCGCATTATACGAGCTCATAAAAGGATTATCAGGTATCGTAGTTTCTTCAGCATTTCCTCCCGATAAAAACGGATTAAAACTAGCCGCGGAGTTAGATACCTGGGAACTCCCGATGTCTTCTGTGAATAAGAAAGGGTTCGCCATGATCGTATTATTTCTTATAAGTTATAATAAGAGTTTAATAAATCTAATTTAGCATAAGCTCTGATTCAAGAATTTTTAATTCGGTCTTACCAGGCCCTACAATGTCACCAATGCCTGACGTGTCAAAAGGATCGACAGAGTCGTCCAAATCGAAAGAAGAAGAAGATGCGACGACAGGAGTCAAAGGCTTTACCGCTAAGTCTTCTGTGTTTTCCAAAACGTCGCTAACTGAAAGGCGTGGGCTGCTGGAACTTTGAGAACTTTTTCTAATTAGCGCTTCAGTAATCGCATTAGGGTTTACCGGATTGACGGGATCCTCTTTCGAATAGATTAACTCGGTTTCGAGTATTTTTATTTCTGCTTTTCCAGGAACGAGGACCGATGCTATCGATGTGTCAAAAGGATCGAAATCTGTGCTATCCTCGAAATCTTCCGATACTTTTTTCGGGATTACCGGTGTATGTAATTTTGTATGATTATCTACGTCACCGGAGATAATATCTTGCTGTTTTGGTGTTGCCGGTTTGGTGCCTGATCTCGGATCGAATTCGTCGTCTGATAGACTATGTTGGCGAGCAGGAAGAGCGGCTGGTGTCTCTTTGGCGACTAATTCCTTTTCTATTAATTTTAATTCTATTCTCCCTGGACAATTTTTCACATGAGATGTGTCGAACGGATCATTCTGTTCCTCTGTATGTGCAATTGATTCGCCACCTGGAGGAGGATAATACGGTGTCAGAGGTTTTCCGACTTTGTTGGTTTCTTCCTGATCTACGGCAAGCAGGTCAGGTAATTTAGGCGGTGACTTTACATCAAACGCAACAACTTTAGGAACTGAAAATCTTTTAGGACCAACTGTCAAATTATCGGGTCTGACAATGGGCTTTTTCTCGTCTGCTCTCGGATCGAAATCGTCGTCGAAGTCCACTTGAACCGTGGGTTTACTTTCTTCGAGTAGCTCCTTTTCGAGAAAGCGAAGTTCTGATTTGCCCGGAACGACGATTTTATCTACTACGGACGTATCGAATGGATCGATGTCAGAAAATTCGTCGATGTCCTCTTTAACACTTGCTGGAACAATAGGGTTCTGGACAATTTTCGACAAGTCAGTCGTACTCCCTCCTAAAAGATCCCTGTGTTTTGATTCTAAGGGTCTAAGAGTGTCGAATTCCGCGTCTTCGTCAAAAGCTGTCTTAAAAGTTACGCTCCCTTTCCGTTCCGAATTGTTGAGAGCCTCTTGAATTCTACTGTCAATGACAATTTTATTGACTTCAGGAGCAGGATTTTCTAGAATTTCCTTTTCAATAAGTTTCAGCTCAAATTTTCCCGGTAATACCTGCGATGCGAAGGTAGTATCAAATGGATCGTCCTCTATGTCAAAATCGTTTTCGAGTTCATCTACTGGGACCTTAGGTAATTCTGGCCTTGGTGGTTTGGAAAGTTTATTCTCTCCCGGTAGTTGTTTTGATAAAGATTCTGCCGCAAGAGCTGCAAATTCGTCGTCTAGCTCGTCAACAGCTTCTGCAGACGGGTCGACAAATTGGACAGTTTTAACTTCACCGAAAGACGGTATAAATTCTTCGACTAGCTCATGAAGATCAACTTTTACTTTTTCTTCGGGTTTTTCTATTACAGGTTGAAGTGTGATAGACTTATTTTCTGCAAGAGGAGTTACAGATGGTAAACCGAGAACCACTTGAGTCTCTTCTTCAAAAATAGGGTCTTCGTCTAAAAGGGATTTCGGCGGCGGCTCGGGCTGGGCTTCTGTGTCAACACCACCCCCTCCTTCGTCAAAACTTCCTAAAAGTAAATCCTGCGGTTTCGGTCGCCTTCTTACTGTTTTTACCGCTTCGACAGGAGGGCCAGCTGTTGCTTTTTCTAATTTTCCAGTTAGAACTTCGACGGCACAACCTAGGCTTACTAGTTTTTTCTTTTTTTCTTCGTTCGGATCTACTTTAATGACTTTGTCGACAATTGATGTGTCGAACGGGTCAAAACCGTCTTCTTCTTTCTCAGGACTGTCTGGAACGTATGCTAATTTTACTTCCCCACTGGTAACTACGTCAACATATGACGTGTCAAATATATCATCTTGGCCGTCTTCAAACTCACTCTCTTCCTCTTCTTCTTCCTCTAACTTTTCTTCGTCGCCGAAAGCGGCCTCAGCTTCTTCAGGATTGACCGCACTAGCTTCTTCTGACGGTTCGTCTCCGCCTTCTTCGAAACCGACCCACTTTCCTTTGGCGGGTTCGCGTTCGGCCTTTGATGCAACAGCAACGGATTCTGTCGGAGCCGGTGTACTTGGTCCGGGAGGTTTTTTCTGGAAGAAACTTGTCGATTTGATACGATCTAAGTCACCCTGGGTCTTTTTTAATATGTCATCAACCCCGGATGTGAGGGCCTTGAATTTCTGCCACTCCTCGCTGTTCTCGTCGTTCCCTTCCGCTGGTTCACAGCCCCCTTGTTCGAGTTTTTGCTGCTGCTCTTTCCGGTACTGTTCTAACTCGGCCGAATCAAAAAGATCCTCCTCTTTGTGCTTGCTCTTTTTCCCTTTCTTCTTCTTCTTTAATCCTTTTGGTATCTTCAGCATATTCTACCACTAATCTATGAGTACATCTGAAAATAGAAGACGAAATACATTTTTAAATTGTGTTTTATGATCAGTTAAATAAACAAAAGAGAAAACTATCATGCCATTATGTAATGAACATTTAAAAGAGTAAAAGACTTTGAAGTAGTGATGCAACTAACATTACATTTTATTTTAGCAGCGTGTTAATTTTTTTTTTAAGCAATTCCAATATAATCAGCAAAAAAGGTTTTTTTTTGTAGCATATTATTCACTATTCCAACGACCAGAAGTTCAAAATAATTTTATTATAAAATAACACATCACTTTTTGAACTTATTTAATTCAATTTTCAATTTGTTATTGAAAAAAGGACATTTAACCAAGTACAAATAACAAACGTAAATGCGAGTAAATTGTCCAACTGAAGTAAGAGAGAAATCTTTATCTCAACCTAAGATGTTTTATTTTAAATCTTCTACTTTAATTTTTATTCACTTGCACTGAAAGCTCAGCCCTACTTTTTTCTTTTTTAACAAAATCATAAATAATATTTAACCAAACGTTATTGATAATATATCTGTTGTTCTGTTATCTGTGTTCCGATGTCTGTTGTTATATATATTAATTGAGCTATGAACATTTCGTAAAAGTTTTTCGTTTTTGTTCTCTCAGAAAAATACGTTTAACAGGCAAAACTCCTCCAATAATTTGTTTTCAAAGTCAAATGTGGCAAATTACAGAACTAGCATTATTAAATTTGAAACTTGTCGGAAATACGCCGAAGTACTTAAGACGCCACTGTGGCAAAACTTTCCTTCGCAAGGAACCCTACCAGATTATTGCCAACTTCAACTTATTTCATAAGTTTACTGCTAAAATGAAAAAAAAAAGTCTCTGTTTATCTCTTCTATAAATGCATTTATGATTTTATATATAATATATAAATACAATTGTAAGTCTAACTGGCTGACAAAAAACATGCTACAAAAAAGCAAAAAAAAATTAAAATTGTTGACATAGAGATAAAAACAGACAATTAAAAACATAAATACCATTGATATTAAGTTGATGAAAAAGCATGGACTAGTAGAAGACTGTCTTTATAACGTTAAGCAGCATAAAAGGGGCTGAAAAAACCATAAAAATGCATATTTCTAACTCGTTTTAGATTTTTTTTTACGATTATTTAAATTCACGTGCGGTTTGGATAATTGCCTAATAAGTTTAAAACAGATAAAGTTATTACAAAACAGCTTAGGTAAAAAAATACCACTAATAAAAATAAAAGACTGTATAAAACGTTGGTAACAGATTACACGACATTTGAAAAATGGCAAAAATGAGGGAAAATTCAAAAGGTGGGGTTGAGATGGGAAGTTAGTGCCCGAGTGGATCGAAGTCACGATAACTCAAGCGGTAGAGTAGCGGAGTATCAAGCCGAAGGTCGTGGGTTCGAATCCCGCTCGTGACACTGAATTTTTTATCCCAACTAAAAACCTTAATTAATTGAATGATATTAATTGGTCAAGCGGACCACGAAAACTACCGAAATGAATGAGTTTGAAATAAAAATTGGTTAGGGAGGCAGAAAATCGGAAAATTTACGTTTAGAAATGTAATTTTAAAAAAGCAATTTATCTGTCAGATCAATGAAATCAAGTAGAAACATAACTCAAAGTCGTTTATCGGTCCATGAAGTATAAAAAAAGATTTTTAAACTTTTATCGATTGCCAAAATATAAAAAAGATCCAAATAGTTTTATTACGTTTTACCGCGTCAAATCTGGAATAGTTTTCATCTGGAAAAAGAAATAAAGCCTACTGTTTTATACAATTGTACGAACATAAAAAAAAGAAAACTTGATTAAATGAAAATTTCTCTTTTGTTTTTTTGAAAACGCTTTGTCTCCAAACGGTGTTCAACAATGTACTAATTGATGGTGAAGAAGAAGGAAGAATTTTCATGTCAAACCCGAATGTTTGATCGGAAGTCGTTTAACAGTTTCGTAATGCTCATAGGGCACACGGGCATCCAATAAAGTCAGGTTTATTAAAATCGATATCCCCTCTGGGAGAGCAGATGTGAAATAGTTTTAATTTGTGAGCCGGAGGGTTGTTGAGTTCACAACGAATGGTTCTTTTTCGGAAGAGAAATTATTGCGATTGCAAACATACCAAAAGAACACACGAACCTTTTTAAACCTATCCATTTTCACAGACGTACCTCTACTTATGTTACGTCCCGTGCTAAAGGACTTAAAACATCTCGGAACTATCAGTTAAAACATTAAAAATTGAAAAAAGGTTTATATATCAAATGAAAAAAGTCAAAATCAGACCAAATTTCTAACAAAAATATTGAAAAGTAATTTGTTATTGTGTCAAATTCATTGTTTTCATTACAATAGAGAAATTTAATGTGTTTTATTAGGTTATGATTTATTGTCAGCTTGTTGGCTGTTCTTACAAACGTATTTGTAGTTACGTTTTACGTGAGTTAAATTTTTAAAGCTTCAGTTTACATGTCTTTCAATAGATTAATTTCAAACAAACATTCCATCGATTGTTTGGGTTAATCCATTGTTCCAACAGCAAATAGTTACAGATAAATATGTTACATATTTTCATGCCTGCAACGGGAATCACTATAACCTAAAACCTACAACTATAACCTATAAACAATGAAGATCCTGGAAATACCAGTCACCTTGATCAGGTCGCCTCTTAGAGGTCGATAATGACGAATATTACGAAGGAGCGAAGGATAAGGACGAATTTTAGACCTAAAACTGACCATAATAAACAACCTATTAGAAATAGACGTATATAGAAAACCCACAACTACAGACACTATGATACCAGCGGATTCTTTCCACCCATAGTCCCAAAAGGCTGCTGGTTTCATTTGGCTCATAGACCGGATGTTAAAACTTCCGCTAACACCTAACTATAAACTATATATATAAAAACTATAAAAATATTATAATAGATAACTATAAAAAAGAATTAAAAACTATTAAAACCTTAGCAAAAAACAACGGGTATCAAGAACTATTTATTGATAGGTTGTTAGTTAAAAGAATAAAAAAAATTAACTTTAAACGAACCAACAATAGGACTCAGCCACCCCACCACAAATGAATCATTAGGTTTCTGTTGTTTGCCATACATTGGTGAATTATCGGAAAAAGTTAGTAAAATTAATTCACTATTTTCGTGGTCCGCTTGACCAATTAATACAAGACAATTAATTAAGGTTTTTAGTTGAGATGAAAAAAAATTAATGGCACGAGANTGCTAATTGGAACGTCGCGTTGGCGGAGGTATCAGCGGGTTCACTTTGGCAATTCATGTCGAGAGACGTGGTTGTAGAAGTCCTTCAACCTGATGATGAGCTAAAAGGCTCGAAATCCGGATCGTTGCAAAACAACTTACTGTGAGTAGGAACTATCTTTTAAAAAAAGTATATTAGGAAGTGTAAGCAAGAATCTTTTTGCCTCCACCGGCTATAACCCTGACGTCTCACCACTTCACCTATTTAGTCCACAATGTGATTGACCTAGCTGATCACACCATCCGGCGCCCATCCTTGGTGGTTAGATGGATAAGACCAAGGTCTGACCTCGGACTGCCAACACCCAGGGTTATCGAGGCCTGCTGGTAATTGAGAATAGAAGTTTGTGAATCTGGCAGTTTGTAAAGTACAAAAGGTCGAATTGTCAGTGGACTGCGTAGGATCAACACGTGTGTACAAATATACATGCAAGCTTATATAAAAAGGTAATCAATAAAAGCAGTAGGTACCTACGTCAAACTTTAACTCATGCTTTAATTTTGGTGGACTGAGATGTTTTGCACTTTCAGATGGTTATAGAAAGGATAATTGACTTAGATTCACTTAAGTCGATAGAATATATATCTAAAAATAAGAAGAGATGACAATCCAGGAATTGGTCCATTGATTAAATGGAAAATTCGTGAAAATGGAACCATCTTGCTTCGGCCTGTTACTTTTGATGCCTGAAGGACTTCCCAAATTTATGGTTTATTGTTTGAAAGTAAGGTACAAAAACAAGTATATCAAAGCAGGGTATTTCAAATTCGAGACTATTTCCATGGGAGAGAATTATTGCCGGCTGAAATACACTGACAGACACAAAATTCCACCCCACTAATTTTTTTCATTTTCTCGATTAAACAAAAACCGGCCCTTAATTAGTCTCATTGTTTTTATCAATAAATATTTGTTTATGCTATATTTTAAATTGGAAATTGGGAATCAAACGTAAACACACTTAATCCTTAATCCATAACAAGGATAAAAGATTTTTGAATGTTTAATTTTTACGGAATTTAAAATTTAAAGTCTCATTCATTCAGAATTCTAAAGCAATAAACTGTTTACTTTCATCTTTTTTTTCTTAATTTAAATTAAACTTAAAAATGTCACGTAGTGCTGAGGATGTTGCGCGTCGTGTGGCACTTATGGATGATGGAAGATTCATCAGGTTTGCGGGTATTGTCATCGGAGTTCCCCACGAAACTCTGCGATGACGCTGTTAGACGTTTTCTAGCTTCTGGGTCCTACCATAGAAGGCCCGGTTCAGGACGCCCTAGGGTAACAGAATCACTGGATGACCGTTGTTTGACTTTGAGAATTGTGCGAAACCGGCACCTTCATGATGTTCAAGCTTGAATGATCAATCAGCTCAAGGAAGTTTGAGGTGTCCAAATTTCTGAAGCACTGCTCGAAGAAGTTTAAATCAGTATGGACTGATGGCTTTTCGCCCACAGGACGAAAATTTACCGAGAACATAGCCTCCGAGAACATAGTCCTTGGACGATTGGTCTGTTGTACCTTTTAAGATGAGTGTAGATTGGCTCTACGATCTCCAGATGGGCGGGAAAGGGTGTGGAGAAGGCGAAATGATAGGTTCAAAGCCTGTAATTTGTCCGAGAGCCCACCTTTTCAACGTAGCTCATTGATGTGATCATCACTTCCTGATACTCTCCAGAAGAATGGGCTAACCTCCTGCAAAGATACATTTACAGACTGGTAGAAAGTATACCGAGGCGTCTTCGAGATGTAATTAACATAAGAGGAGGAAACACGCGATGTTGAAATATTAATTAAAAATCGAATACAAAATTAAAACAAATTTTATTTGTCCGTCTTTTTTTAAATTGCAAAAATTTTTCATTTTCCTTAGCAATTTACATATTTTTTTTTAACTTTTTTAGACAAAGACTCAATTATTAAACGTTAAAAAACGTCAAAATATATAAAAATATATACAAATCAAGTTACATTACAAGTGGGCAGAATTTTTGCTTCTGTCAGTGTATTTCAATATTTTTAGAAAGTAATATTTATGAGTAGGATATATTATTTTTTTATACAACTGTTTAATATGCACAATGACTTAATTTATCACCATAATATCATACTTTATTACTAATTTCTATAGTCTTAAAATTTATTCAATGCAGTAAACTATGAAAAACTAGAACAATTTTTTTCTATTATTGCTGTTAAGAATTAATGTAAAGTTTTACCACGTATCAATTTGTTTAAACGAATGTAAAGATATCAGCTGTTTTAAGTATATGAGAATTGATAAGTTCTCACATTAAAAAAAACTATCTAAAACAGAATCACCCATATCAAAGAGTGTTGTGTCAGAAAACGAATAGAACGAACATACCGAACGATTTCTTTTTTAGCGATTCTTCAACAAAACCCGGCTGTTGGAAAACACGTTGACTTCAATCGAACCAATCACCAACGGCAAGAATAATCTGAAATTATAAGAAAAATCGAAATTTGATAGGATTATTTTGTTTTTATGAGCATTATTCGACGTATTGTTAATCCTGTGATGTCATTGATTTTGAGTTGAAAAAATTAATTACAAAACAAAGTGTTAGCGCAACGTCAAAAACTTACTCGATATCGTTCTGTCAGTTCTTATGTGTGACTAATTTTTCTAGTCAATCATTTTATTTAATGTGTTAGTCGATGATTATTCAGAAATTGTGAGATGTGGTCTGGTGTGACGTAGGTTTCAGAAAAAAACATTTTCTTTATCGTGCCACGTTTCGATCTTTATTGAGATCATCTTCAGTTCCTGGGATTTACAAACATTGATTACATTTAACAAATACATGTAGGATATGTTACGCAGAAAACAAACACTTTGAATGANGAAGATGATCTCAATAAAGATCGAAACGTTGGCACGATAAAGAAAATGTTTTTCTGAAACCTACATCACACCAGACCGCATCTCACGATTTCTGAATACGTCTGAATGCGTCTTTACTCCCTCGTGTTCAGAGGCAAAAGATTTAAATATAGATAAGGCATACTGTTCTGTAAATTTTTAAAGATTTGTATCTTTTGGAAAATCATGTTTTTTTGCATTTTTACCATGATAGGTCACTTGATCAATGTTAATCATATATGAGATGGAATGGATACATGTAGATCGAGACAAAATGTGTATTTTCATCAGTTCTAATATTTAGTGATCTCTAATATCAAATAACTTTTGTGTGTTTTGAAAACCACAATTTTTCGTTACTTTTAGTTATATCACCGAACATAACCTTACTAATTTTGATAAAATATAAAACAGAGTACAATATAGATTTTATTATTAATATATAGAATATTTAGTGAGTGAGCGTTTGTGTGTACAGGTGTATTTGAGAGAGAGAGAGAGAGAGAGAGAGAGAGAGAGAGAGAGAGAGAGAGAGAGAGATGTTTAATCTGAAATATGTGCGTACATTCGATAAAATCGAATATATAGTTTTAATTAATTTGCATTTATTATCTTCTTTTAAATTTACAATAAGTTTTTCCACGTAACCTTCCATTTTGAAATCCGATTTTGTAATTTCACAAATTGAACGAATTTTCTAATATCGCCTCTGGTCCGCGTCGTTTCGATACGACTCTGTTATTTTTAGTTTTATTTTTTTTGGGGAGAGAGGGTAGTGAGGGTACGAAATCACATCGGCCATATGTATAGTATGTTAAATATACTAATGCAGTTAAGATTAGCTTTAAATAATCGATCCGTTCGATGTTAGGCCTTATTATGTTTTATTCCACCAATACTTTATGTGAAATTATCAAATTTATGTTTGTAGTAATCAATGGGCCTTTACAATTTCCAAAATCGATCGTTTCACGTTTGTTCTTCGCCATACGTCAGAATAAACAGGCGGACAATTTGGATATATTTATGTACTTCGACTTTTCATATTTAGTTTTACTCCAATAAAAATTAACTACGATTCTTTTTTCAAGTTTAGGTAAAGTAAATCACTGTTTTATTTGGCCAATTGAGTAGAATATTGTCATGAAAAATGTATTTATTTATCTTCAAAAAAATAAGAAAATTGTTTATGTAATATATGATACTTTCTATTTTCAAAGTAGTGTTTGTAATATTTTGTGCTGATATTTATTATACAGCATTATTGTTTGATAATAAAACTTATTAATAGTAATTTCATATTTTGGGGTAGTATTAATTGATCTTAGTAGGATTTAAATAGTGGTTTGATGTCAATTAATTTTTTTTATATTTTTGCTATAGTTGAAGGTCAATATGCTCATAGGACGAAAATGCAACGACATATTAAAGATTCGTCAAGTTTATTTATACCCTTTGAATTTTTAAGCTCTGAAACATGTTTCTATTAGACTGTTCATGTGTGTGTGGAAGGTGAAATAGGGGAAACTATCAATGCCGCAAACTATGAATGCAGATGCAAGGGAGGGATGGCCCCACGCAAACGTACCGTACACCGTGGAAGTCGATAAAACAAAAAAATACTGGCATTTCTATAAAAGTTTATATTAAACAATCCGCCTCTGGAATTTAAAATACGAGCGCCTATTGTTCAAATTTCACTGCTAACTACAGGACACACCCCCTTTTCGGTGAGGCGAGAACAAGTCCGAAGCACGTCTTGTCAGCCACAGTCAAAAAACTTAAAAATTAGTCATGCATTTAAATAGTAAAATAATATTGTAACTGCTTAAAACATTTTTGAAAAGAGCTTAGTATATGTTTTATACGTTGATTAGTTATGGATTTGTTTATTTGAGAATCTGTTTTAGTATGAACAAGGTATGTTTTATAAAGCACCCTACGAGTCCTAAGTTTAAGTATTATTAAAGACTATAGGGTTTATAGGATAAAGAACTTCCTACGCAATTATACTTAGGAGAGGGTCAACATTACTAGATATGTACCCATTATGGTATTTCAGTGACAATTTCTGTGCTATCCTAATAACATTATTTACTCTTTATTGTGTGATTTTGCTGAAATAGAAATTGTTGACGGTCGGTCATGGGGTGCATTCCGTAAGGCAAATCAATGAATGGAATTTTTGGAAGCTTACATTAGTTGTGTCATCTGTGGGCCTAATGTCAAATACATATCTTCTACATTTGGAAGCAGATTCTCGAGAAGCTGTTGGAGACCGTTGGGCGTTGGGAAAAGGTCGAAAAGGCGGTCGTCTCCTCGGAAAAGGCTGATCACTGATCGGCAGCAGAAAAGGTTTTTAATACGTCGAGGAGGGTTGGAGGCGCTGTTGGCGGCGGTCGATCCTAGATCGGGGGCCCGCTGCCCCCCCTGCTATTGATTTCTCACCCCCTATGACGTCATTTGACCCACCACGGAAAGGCACGCCCCCGAAGAAATGACGTCACCCACCTCAGACAATTAGGGGTGAGAATTGGCGGAAGTCGGTCTTATGTTTTGAAAACAAGGAAAAGGCCATGTGCTCTGGGATAAATCTTTCGCTAAGAAACTTTCGTCCAATTCATAATTCCTTATGTATAGCAAATGTTCTGTTGTTCCAAGAAACTGACTTCTAAATACATCCAGATGTTAAACAAAAGCGTTTTATGACCAAAATAGACCATGAGCATGAGAATCAAATTATCACCATTTTTTTTTTTTTTTGTCATCCATACTTGATCATGACCATCAGCTTAACATTGAACACGACTTGAATGTCCCCTTGCAACTCTCTTATCCTCCTAAAGCATTTACTCCGTCAGACATACGACACACTATTAAACAACTACCTTCACGAAAAGCTCCAGGTTATGATCTAATTACAAAACAAATATTACAAAATTTGCCCCAGAGGCTTACTATACTTAACATACCTATACAACGCTGTACTCAGGACCACATATTTTCCATTGCAATGGAAGTTCTCTATAATTAAAATGATTCATAAACCAAATAAACCTTCTGATCTTCCAAATTCCTATCGACCCATTAGGCTCCTTTCTATCCTTGCCAAAATACTAGAAAAACTACTTCTCCGACGATTACTGCCAATAATTGAAAATTTTAATATTATTACAGATCATCAGTTTGGGTTCCGCACATTTCACTCGACAACTCAACAATTACATCGTGATGCTGACAATATAGCCTCTTCTCTCGGACAAAAACAGCATTGCTTGGGTGTCTTTCTTGATTTAGAACAGGCCTTCGATCGAGTCTGGCACTCGGACTTGCTTTGGAAACTGAGGAACATCCTCCCTCATACGTACTATCTTATACTGAGGTCTTATCTGACGGATCGATTTTGTCGAGTCCGTCATGGAACTGAATTCTCACCTTATATACGCATAAGGGCGGGTGTTCCTCAGGGAAGCATACTTGGCCCTTTTCTATTTTCCATATACACTGCAGATATTCTTACACACGTTAACATTTCGACACACACTGATGATACAGCGATTCTTACACGCAATTCGGACACTCAACACTTACAACAATACCTGAACGAATTAACAATATGGTTTACAAAGTGGAGAATAAAGGTAAACCTAACAAAAAGCACACAGATCAATTTTACCTTACGTTAAAATGTCTGTCCTGCGGTGAGTATAAATGGAATTCCATTGCCTACCACTGACCTTGTGCGTTATCTTGGACTTTTCATGGATAAACGACTGACTTGGAATCCCCATACAAGACTGAAAAGACAGCAAAAACCTACGTTATAAATTGTCAAAAAGACTCGACTCACGATCAAAATTAGACCTTGAAAATAAACTTTTAATTTACAAGACAATGATTAGACCTCTCTGGGCGTACGGTTGTGAAGTATGGGGCTCAACCAAGGATTCCAATTCCCAGCGTCTCCAATCAATCCAATCTAAAATTCTCCGTCAAATTATAAATGCTCCTTTTTACGTTTCAAATTACACTATCCATAAAGACCTACACATCCCGTTTGTACATGAACTTATCAAAACCCGATATAAAAAATTTCATCAATCACTGAACACACACAGTAATCTATTCGTACGAAATTTATCACTTCCAACCCTACCTGAAAATCCTCCAAGACGATTGAAGCGAAAGTGGCCCCGAGACCTTCTCATTGTGTGAAGACTGAACAAGATATCAGTGTGAAGGAGTGTTACCACTGGGCAACTTCTCCTACAAGATCCTCAAATGATAATTCAACATATACGAACATATTTACTTAATACAACACTTGTAGTTGTAAATACCAAATAAATGTAATAAAAAAAAAGTTTGTCATCCGTACGATCAAAAATCCCATCAGACTGCTTTTTATTCTTCGCAAAGTTCTTATGGCTTGGACCTTTCCTTGCTAAGATCCACATAAGCTGACATAGACAGATTGAAAAGAAAGACATTATAAAATGTATAACAGAAAAATATAATATGCAAGTTTCTTGAGAAAATTGTTGACACAAACAACGACTCAAAAATTGTGTCATTCAGCGTAGAAACATTATAAAAACCTCGAAAATACGTAGATTTTCGTATTTATATATGAAGCACGAACTATAAGAGTGTCCTACCATTAGGAACAAATATTGGTTCTAGTTCCTCGTCATCAAATGATAAAGACATCAAGAAAACTATGCTTAAAATTAGTAAAGATGAATCCTCTTGAGGGGATCCGATAACGTAAATGAGAAAAGATCACCTTAATGAGTCCACTAATTCATGAGACGACATAGAACATGATGATTTCAACAATTTAAATCCGTGAAGAAAACCCGCAGTCAAGGAAATCCATTCACTTGATTTACACGTGGAATAAGATGCAAGAAGGAACACAATGAATACTTTGCCCCAAATTCACGTCATCAGATCACAATCTTTCAAACTGAAGAAAATACCATTAAGGTAGGCAGGCACATGTTAAACCACAAAACCTGAAGATCATACAGTCTATACGTGATTTTCAGCATCATGAATCAATGAATAAAGAATGTCCTTAACACGGAATACAATTCCTGTTGTAATTTATAATATAAAAAAATAAGGAAACTACTGAGGCAAACCGCCATCGAACAAATAATTACAAGTAATTCGGAAAAAAATCGTAAAACAAAAAGGATTAACAAGATATTAGCGAAAAGAGAATCACCCTGTGATGGATTTGTCATACCATTGGCGGAATTTGAACCCCTCATCAAGAAAACAATGCATATTATTGGTAGTTCAGGATATGGTGTCAAATACTAAGCGGACATGGAATCAACAGACTCTCCTGACAAGAGTTGAAGTATGAGAAGGATGAAGCTCTGAATTTAAACCCTTTCCTTGAGGGGACGAACATAAGTCCGAAAAAGATTGGCGTCAATTAACGCGGAAAACAATAAAAAATGAAAGAATATTCAATAACCAAGTTACAAAGTTAACATTCGAGTTTGAATTGAAGATTAGATTGAGTAAACAACGAAAGTTACTGTTGATTACCTGTCACAAGCGTAAAAAATCTATTTCAAACAATTACGAGATTTGATTTTTAAAATTAGGGAAATAAATTGGGGAAAGGGGAAAAATTTTGAGAATCATCGGCGGCAATCAACACGGGCTTGCAAGAAGTTGTTGTTGGATGTCGTATTCGACAGGACATGGAGACTTTGCCGCGAAGCTCCATTCCTTCAGACTCAAACCTAGCCCGATGTGCGACTGTGGTGAAGAAGAAACGGCGGAACACGTCTTACTCAGTTGTGAAATCCACGTCGTTCCCCGTGTACGCTGGCTCTTCGAGATAAATGAGCAGACGGCGACCATGGACGCCTTAAGAGCAGCGATCGCCACTTGGGCGGGACTTAACGCAACACAAAAGATGTGGAAAAGCGTTATGAGATAGAAAGGATGGCCGACATAATACAGCAATAGATAAGAAATCAGACAAGCCTACACCTCCTCCACCTGAACATCCCGAGCGAACCGCCTCCGCGAGGCCCATCCCGGACGCAGTAAACTAAACTGTGACAAAGAGCTCGCCAGGTGGAGTAGAGACAAAAGAAAGATCATAGCTTCCGTCTATAATACAAAAAGCTAAATAGCAGCGCAAGCCAAGAAGCTGCAAAGAGCCAGATATGGCTTAGGAGTTAGTACCATTCTAATTTATCTTTAACTATTGTTTTGCGAACCATTAACTCAAATTTAAGATTAAGTAGACAGAAAGTTCTTGTCGACGTTTTGTTTTGGAAAGGTGTAACGACGAATGAAACGGTAATAAAAGAAGAAGTGGACGTTTTCTTCATGTCCATCTGTATTGCGCTGTATACAGGATGTTCGGCTACTCGTGTTATAAACTTTGCCCGTAGATTCTAGATTCAAAAAGGAACCAAAAAATCCTAATTAACTATGGTCCGAATATCAGCAGTTTCGGAGTTATTCCACTTTTTCTGATTTTTTAACATTTCACGACCTTGCATCAAACAAACAATAAGTCCAAAACTAAAAAGTTTTGAACAAATCCGTTTATAACATTGAAAACTACATTAAATTTCCAATAAGATGTGATTAATACTAAACTTGTAAACCTTCGTGAAATAGGTGTTTTAGAAGCGAGAACTTTGAATTTTTTTTTTCAAAGTTGAAAAACATACTATGTTCATTCTAAACTACTACTTCCAAACCTAGAGACCAGCAAATTTTAGAAAAAGTATTACATTTTATATCCTTTTTATTGGTGTAATTTCTTTTTTAATTACTTTTTTCAAAAATGAAGAAATTGAAAGAGGAAAGAAAAAAATCCGCTGATGGATTGGTAAGTTGGAAAATTAAAAAAAAAAACTTAAGGAAATTAGTTTATTAAACTTTTTTTAAATTTGGGTTTACGTTTTTTATGATTAATCTTTCCACCTTACCATTCTTTAACCATGATCTTTTCTTTTCCTTCGTCAATTTCTTCATCTTTGAAAAAAGTAATTAAAAAAGCAATTGCAATACTGAAAACGATATTAAATGGAGTACGTCTTCTGAAATTTGCTGGTCTCTAGGTTTGGAAATAGTAGTTCAGAATCATAGTAAATTTTTCAACTAAAAAAAAAATATTTTTCAAAGTTCTTGCTACTAAAACGCTTATTTCACGAACGTTTACAAGTGTATATTGATCACATCTTACTGGAAATGTAATGTAGTTTTCAATGATATGAACGGATTTGTACAAAACCTTTTAGTTTTGGGGTTATCATTCTTTATTTAAAGCAAGGTCGTGAAATCTTAAAAAAATCAGAAAAAGTGAAATAACTTTAAAACTTCTGAGATTCGGACCATAGTTAG